ATTAAGGTTAATGATAATGTGCCCTCAACTTAGATTCAGATATATTGGTTTTCTTTTCTTTCTTTCTTTTTTTATTTTTGTTTAATGAGGAGAAGAAAAGAGCTTATTAATTTGCCTGCAAAGATATTTTAGTTTTCGACTCCAGTTCTACTGATTAGCAGCTGTGTGACCTTGGGCAAATTTATATAACCTCTCTGTATGTAGCTCAGTAGGTTTATCAACTGTTCTTATAGATAGCTGCCTGACGGTGTTGCTGATGGTATGAAATAATCCCATATGGAAGTCCTAGCACGTAGTGACCACTCAACATGTTCTCTTTCCTCCAAGGACCATCATGAACAGATTGTTGTAGGGTAGGGAAGCTATGGAGGGAATATGAAAATTGGCAGGAGCAGGCAATCAGCCTTTAATCACTGAGTAATCATCCTGTGCGCTGTGCTTCATGGGCACCAACTCATTGAATTCTTGCAGCAACTCTTTGATATTAGATGCTGAGAGAGTAGCTAACTCCGTCTCACTTTTCTCTACACATGTTCAGGTCCTTAGATTTGGGATAGTTGTGCTTGGGGATGGGGTAGGACCAACGTGACCTTTTAAAGCCCATTTGCTCTGAACAGTCTACCTGTTGCGTTTTTCTCTTTTCTCCCCACCCCACCTCTCACTTGTCTCTCCCTCCCAGCAACCTCTTTCTACACTGACCAATCCCACTCTGTCCTCCTTTACTTTCCATTTATTAAATTATGGCCTCTCAGAACTAAACTGAGCATTAAAGATCATCCAGTTCTGTGTTTTTCAAAATTTTTTAAAAAAAAATTTCCAAACCCTCTTCCCACAGAAAACCTTACGTAAAACTCCCAAGAAATGGAGCTGAGTAAGTGGACTTGTTATGAAGAGCAATGGGCATCCCCATGGCCATCTCAGGTCCACCATACCGAGAAGGTACGCTGGCCAATGTGGGAGACTTAAACCATGCTCACCTGAACAAAATGAGCTTTGTGGTCCACGGTGGCTTCTGACATGACCGGGCACAGGGACATGGCAACTTGTTTTCTCTTCTGAGGGAGCAGCTTAATGCCGATGTGTCAGCTCCAAGACTGTGCAAGGCTCTACGCTAGCCTCCCCGCTCCCCACTGCTGTAAGATATATTATCAGATGAGCACTGTCTTCTCACTTTGTAATATAACGGTATAGACATTTATGAAGCTTCTCCTAACTTTTGAAAGTCAATATAATCAAAGCACAATGCATCTTAATTGCCAGCACCCCCAACCCTGTGCAGAACAAATGGCGGCAGTCCTAAGTAAAATGAGTGCTGGCACCCACCTCAAGAAGGGTGGGGAAGCCAAGCTGGGGTTTCTGTAAAAGTGCCCCAGACAAAATAGTTTGCATCTAAGGTGCCTGGTTTTCCATAGTGCTTTTTTCTAGGCTACATAAAACTATTTTTATACCCATCATTTCCTCTACCTCACAATTTGCCTAGAGGCAGGGGAAAAGACAATTAATTCAATTTTTCTGGGGAAACAGACATCCAGCAATTCTATGTCGAGGAGCATAGGAGGAGTCCAAAAGCTATCTTCAAGGCTAACTCATCTTATCATCATAACAATGACGTGGTAAGTGGTCGTCTGGCCAAATGTTAAGGGTTCCAATCCTGGCTCTGCCTCTTAATAGTCATGTGACATTGGATGAGATATTTGACCTCTGTCTGTTTTAGCATCTTTATTTGTAAAGTGGCTGATAATATGGAAGTACCTACTTCATAGCCTTGTCAAGGAATTAAATGAGTTACACATGTAAGAAGCTAAGAACAGCACCAGCATATAGTAAGTACTTAATAACTTTGAGTTATTAGTATTTGTGTAGTACTTTATGGTTTATGAAGCACTTCCACAGACATTATTATCTCTTGACTAGGATCCAGATCACTTGACTCTCAGCCCAGGCATTTGGAAAAAAATCAGATTATTGGGGAAGGTCCAGCATGCTTTACTGAACACATCCACTGAGGCTAGTCTACTAGCCGATGGTGTTTCCAGTCCAGTCCTGTCTTTTTGTTGCATGTCCTGGAAAAGTATTCTGCAAGGTACCCAGGACATCCCCTCTGCTCTGGAAGAAGCTCCCACCCAGGAGGCATAAAGTTTCTTTCATCCTTTATACAGCAGGAGGCAGAATTATGTACATTGATGCTTAAGCTCCAGCTGTCTTATCTCCTTACTTCCAAACACCACTGGATATTCTTTAAAAAGCCAATTCTGGGCTCAGGCAATTAAGCTGTATCATTTCCCCTGGTAAAACCTTTAGACGCCTTATAAAGCAACATCAAAGAGCTACTCCATGAGTGCTGGTCACCATCCTTTCCCCACACTCCAAGCAGGGAAAGGGTAAGGGGGTAACATTTCTGGAGTACCCAGTGTGTATAAGACTAGGTTACCACGATCAGATCCCTACAAATGAGGAAATGGGGCTGTAGAGGGGAGAAGTAACTGCTCCAAGGCACCACAGTGGATAAAAGCTCTAGCCACGCACTTCCCAGCTCTATGATCTTCCTCAATTTCTCTGAGCTGAGTTTTTTCATCTATAAAACTGGGATAATGATCGTACACATCCCACAGGGTTATTGTAAAAACTCAATGCGTTAATTCATTCATTATACTTAGCACAATGACTAGCATATACAAGAGCCCAGTACATGTAAGGTTTTATTATCATTATTACCCAAAAAAGAGGATCAGCTAGGATTCACTCTGTACTTCTTTCATTAAACGAAGTGGGGCCCTTGTCTCTGACTGAGGACAATGACTTCGTGTCCAAATGACAGCGCTTTAACATCCCTCAGCCAAGTTCATGGTGTGGGGCATGGGGTACGGTTCTAGCTATGACTTCCACCTTCTTTGCAGTGGGAGTTGTTTTGTCCAACCTACAATGCAATTCACTTATCATTACTGTGCAGTGGTGAGTCAGTCTTTCTTTGAATCCTTTTATTGAGGGGATACTCACACCCTCATGAAAATCAGCCTATTCCATTTTGAACACCTCTTATAATCAGGAAGTGTCCTTTCTCTGTTCCTTTTCCTTCTACCCTCCCAGCCCTTCCTTCCTCTCCTTCTCCTTCCTCCTTTCTTTTTCCCTTCCCTCTTCTCCTCTCTGCCCTGTCCTCTCCCACCTCTCTCCTCTCCCCCCCCCAGGTCTTGCCAGTTCAGAGAACCTGAGGTCCTGCTGTTTCCCCCGAAGCCACCGTCCAGTCGCTGACCAGTCAGGAGAGCGTGGTACGTCTTCAGTGTAGTCACTTGGCCGGCTGATGAGAACTCAGCTCCCAATGGTCCTAACAACCCTCTAGGCTTTGCAGAATCTTTCAGAAGCAAAACCTTTTTCCTGGGCCTTATGGCTTGGCCTTCTGGTCCATTAATGTCATCCATCGGTTCACTTGATTTCCATTATTAACCCCATCTTGAACCACATGAAACATGAAATGGGTTGATCTGATGTCTTGAACCCCAGCTGGGCCGGTATGCAAGCCAAGGAGAGGGCTGGGGCACTAGGGGAACCGAGGCACGCAGGCAGCCTTCACTGGTTGAGATCCTCTGCCCGGGGCAGCTCGGCTCCTGCTCGTGCCTGGCCACGAGCAGCCTGGGGCGGCGCTGCCGCTTTAAGAGAGGGGCGGGGCCCGCGTACTGGCAAGGCTGGGCCAGCCCACAAGGCTCCTTTTCCTTTTTGATCCATTCAAAAATTACTCATTGCAAATTCCCGGACTGCTAGGAGCGGAGAAGGAGGGGCGCGGAGGAGAGAGGGTACTGCGGGCGCAGTGCTGGGGGCACCCGGGAGCCGGGGCGGCTGACGGCCTGTCCCGCAGAAGCCGCTGGCCGCGCTCTGGCTCCGGTGGCCTCACCAGGAAGCGTCAGAGTCTCTACACGGGGAAGCTCGGAGCGCCGCCTCCGCCGCCGCCGCCTCCCGCCCGGCGCTCGGTCCCCGAGCCGCCTCCCCTGCCCCAGCCGGACTCCCGCCTCCTTCCCGGACGATCCGGCTCGGGCGCCCTCCCCGGCGATGGCTGGCCGCTGAGCCATGGCTCAGTACGGCCACCCCAGCCCGCTCGGCATGGCCGCGAGAGAGGAGCTGTACAGCAAAGTCACCCCCCGGAGGAACCGCCAGCAGCGCCCCGGCACCATCAAGCATGGATCGGCGCTGGACGTGCTCCTCTCCATGGGGTTCCCCAGAGCCCGCGCGTAAGTGGCCGGGTCGCAGCCCCGCGCGACCCCTCCCGCCCCGCGCGGCCGGCCCTCGGCTTCGCTCCGGCTCGCTTCCCCGCGCCTGCCTCCCGGGCGGCGCGCTCCCCGCTGCCCACGACCTGTTGGGGGCGGGATGGGCGCGCGGGCAGCCCGGGACTCATCTCCCGGCGGGTGTGCAGAAGACGCGTCGCGGGAGCGCCGGGCTGGGGGCTCGCCTAGGGATGCCTAAAGCTGGGGGCGAGGGCAGCAGATTCGAGTCCCGGGTGGGGTGCCCGGCTCCCAGCTCCGGCGGGTGGAGCTAAGCTGTTCTCTCGCGCTCTCCCCGAGGTCTCCAGCGCCGAGCCCCTGGGGAGGCGGGGCCCCAAGAGGACTCTGGCACCCTGTCCATCCCGAACGCTGGGCTGGCCTGGGATCCCCTGGTGGCTGGGAAATGGCAAGGGACTGCGGGGCAGGGAGGCCGGAGCCCCTATTGCAGCCGCTTCCAGCTCCGGATGTCTGTCTCTGGTTCGGTCTCCCTCTGGAGTAGGAGGAGCGGGAGCGTGGGTGTTGCTGCGTGTTCACTGATAGGGAGATGGAATGGGAAGGAGAAGCGATCCCTCCAGGGGACCTGGGTTCTCGTCAGTGCTGACGGCAGCGCAGAAATCTGTGGGTGCCTGAGAGTAAGGAGGGGGAGTCGCCCTCCTTCATCCTTCTTCCTCTTGGAGAGTGGGATAGGGAAGGGCAGAGAGAGCGCAGGTGGCTGTCCCTGCAGCCTGCTGGGGAGAGGCCTGGTTGCCAGCACAGGGCAGCAGCAGCAGGAGTCGGCTTAAGTCTTAAGCCGGTCAACTCAAGTATGAGGGAGTGGAACCCTGCCGAAGGGGAAGCCAAGGCCCGGGGCCAGGCTCTTCTCCCTAACGTGAGTCCCTGGCGTGCAGATTTCATAGGCCTGGGAGCTTGTGAGGGTGCAGCTTCTTTACACCTTCCAATTACATCACCTGGATAGGAGAGTTGGGCAAACTTTATCAGGAAGGGCCAAGTAAATGAAAGTCCTTTTTTTTCCCCCTGCCTTTCTTCAAGTGATAGCTTTAGGCCTCCCTTCCCCTGCCCCTGGGCAAACCTTGTTTATTCTTTACTAACTTGGTTATAGCCTCTTAATGAAAGTGGACCCTGGAATTTATCATTACCCAGCCTGCTGGGACAGGTTGGAGTGGCCTTGGAAGGCTGCAAAATGGACTGATGGTTTGTGCCTCCCACTGACTTCCAAACACTAGGGCTCCAGTTCCTGATGCCAGAATTACTGGGAGAAGAAGTTGTGAGCTCGGCAGGGGTGTGTCAGGTGTGGATGCTGCAAGTTAGGTCCTTTGTGTGGATGATCAATGTGTATAGCTCTCCTTAAAAACTGGAGGTAGGAGCCAGGAAGTCAGCTGGGAAATGATGCAGAATTAGCATAGTCCCAGGCAACTGCCTTTTCTGAAATGAGGCCAACATGAAAGACCTAAATTGCTTAATTAAGGGAAGAAATACTTAACTGAACTCCTCAGACTATCATATTGCTCTTCAAACCAGCTTTAAGGGGACGTCTTTCTTCCTGCACTGAGTCCAGAAGGCCTTGCCTGTGTCCTGACAAATCAGTAGGGTCATCTAATTTGGGCTTGTTCGACCCCGTCTCATAATAGCTAGCATATATTGAGTACTTACTATATACTGTTGTTTTCTTTTCTTAACTGATAGTCAGAACATAAACTATGTACTGTTCTAAGCACTTTGTCTTTATTCCCCATTTTATCCTCCCAATAACTCAATGAAGAAGGTAGTACAGGCCCATTTTATAAATTGGAAAACTGAGGTTTAGAAAGGTTACATAACTGGCTTAAGGTCACAACAGTAAGCAATGAAGTTGGGATTCAGACCCAGGCATTGTGTCTGTATAGTCCAGGCCTCACATCATCTAGGGCCAGGATGTAAATGATTTAATGTGGCTAAAATACGCTTAGAACAGTTCTTGGCACATAGTGGGCGATCATTAAGTGTTAGCTACTGTATTACTTTCCTATGGCTGCTGTAACAAATGACCACAAACTGGATGGCTTAAAACAACAGAAATTTATTCTTATAATTCTAGAGACCAGAAGTCCAAAATCAGTATGGGCTGAAATCAAGGTGTCCACAGGGCGGTGCTCTCTCCTGGAGGCTGTAGTGGGGAATCCATTCCATGCCTCTTCCAGCTTCCGGTTGGGACTGATATTCTTTGGCTTGTGATTGCATCATTCCATTCTCTGCCTTCATGGTTGCATTGCTTTTTCCTCTCTCTGTGTCAAATGTCCATCTCCATGTCTCTTATAAGGATACATATGATTGTGGCTGGGTGTGGTGGCTCACACCTATAATCCTAGCACTCTGGGAGGCCAAGGCAGGAGGATCCTCTGAGCTCGGGGGTTCGAGACCAGCCTGAGCAAGAGCGAGACCCCGTCTCTACTAAAAAAAAAAATAGAAAGAAATTAGCTGGATAACTAAAAATATATATAGAAAAAATTAGCCGGGCATGGTGGCACATGCTTGTAGTCCCAGCTACTGAGGAGGCTGAGGCAGTAGGATTGCTTGAGCCCAGGAGTTTGAGGTTGCTGTGAGCTAGGCTGACACCGCAGCACTCTAGCCCTAGCAACAGAGACTCTGCCTCAAAAAAAAAAAAAATAATAATTTCAAGAAACTATTTTTCTGCCTCTGAAAAAACAAACAAACAAACAAACAAAAAGGATACATATGATTGTATCTAGAGTTCACTTGGAGAATCCAGCATTATCTCTCCATCTCAAGGTCCCTAACTTAATCTTATCTACAAAGTCCTTTTTTTGTTTGTTTGTTTTTACCAGATAAGGTAGCATTCTTGGGTTCAGGGATTAGGACACAATAGCCTTTGGGGAGGCATTATTTAGCCTATCGCAGCTACTATTATTATTATTACTACAGCTGCCACTTTTTACCTAAGAGGTAACTGAGAGGAGGCCTGGAGGGAGGGAGGTTGGGTGTGTCGCTCTGTCTTTCTTAAACTCTCTGCCTCAAAGGGGCCGAGCCTTCAGAGGTTGCCTGATCTAGTTGGACTCCCTGCCCTGCCCTGCTTCCCTCCTCTACCTCAACTCAGAAAGGCTGCTGCGGTTGGCCTTCCCCTTAATAACCTAACAGGCCAGTCGGAAGAAGGGCCATCGGGGATTTCAAAGAGCAGGCTTTTAACTTCCTTTTGGAGAGTTGAGAAGAAAGAGAGCAAGGGCATCAGGTTTAGTTTATAAGAAGCCTCTTTCTTCAGCCGTAAGCCTAGAGGGTGGAGCATGATGGAAGTCCGGAGCAGGAAAGAGCAGTCATAGTCTCCTGGGTTCCGGAAGACTGTGATGTAGTGCCTCAAGAGGGGATGAGACAAGTTTCTCAAACCTGGCCCTTTCAAGAGTGGCTGTCAGCTCTGATTTCCCCTGTGGGTCTGTGTTACTCGACAGCAAGGAGGGACACTTCAGCTGGGCTCTGGGTGGGCCAGCAAGGCAGGTCCCATTCCAACCCATGCTGTGCTGTGCTCCGGTCTCAGAAGTCACTTAACCCCACAGGGCCTTGCTGGCGCCCTCTTAGGGGAGCATGATTAATAAGTGCGTGCTTGTTAAGTGCCTGACAGAGCTAAGAGGACCAGAGGCTGCAGGGCTGGCTCGGGAAGGGTGCCCTCAGGGCGTGTTCTCTCTAGCTCCTTACTCCCCCTGAACTAGGCTGGGTTTTTTCCATCCCACCATATGAACTTTGGTCCAACTTAGACACTGCTGTAGAAGAATCTGCCACATGGAGAAGGGTGGAGAAGTGGTGATTGCAACTGTGTCTGTGTACACATGCAAGTACAAGGAAAAGGAGGTGTTAGGGAGGCATCAGGAAGGAAACTTTCAAGGGGCCAAAATGGCCTATCCCTTCCTTTTTCTTTCTATGTCCACTTACACTTCCCTGTTCCAAAAGTTCTAAAAATAAAGGTCCAGCTTCCTCTAGGCAAGTGAAGTTGGTCAGAGGGAAAAGGAAGAGTGTGTGTCAGACAAAGGCCCGAGGAAGAAAGGGCCTCAGAGGCCAGGACGGAGGCTGAGTCTAACACTGGAGCAGGCCGGCCAGGACTCTGATAAGAGCTGTCACTTTGCACAACCAGACTTGATGTCAGAGCGCTAACATCCCCTAGCTGAAGTCTGTGGTCTCTGGGGACAGAGGCTCTCATTGCTTCTGTAGCTCGGGGCCAACTCTGGGACTTGGAGCATGCCACCGAATAATTGAATTTGAGGAGTCCTTGCTGATATAACTCTGACCTTTTTTTTTTTTATATTTAATTTTTTGAGGGCACCCGTGGCTTGAACTTTCTTTGTCTACAGCAAATGGCATTCAAATGTTTCCTAATAATTAAGACAAAATAATCTTGGGAAGGACACTGCAGCAGGGGTCAGAGGTCCTGAGCTCTGGTCCAGCTTCTGACTAACCTATGAAGCTTCTAGGTCTTCCATTTAACCCTTTTCCCTCAATACCCTGTTCAGTGTCTATACATGGCAACATCTGTCATGTGTCACGGGCTTTGTGAAGACAAAATGAGATAATGGAGAGGAAAGAACTTGGGAAAGTGAAAAATAGAATCTGGACACAGATGTTATTATGGCATTATTGTGTTGGATTGGAAGGACAGAGAGAAGGGGAGATGGCGGTGGAGGTGTCTGGCTAGGAATTACACGCCCTATTGGCTTATTCTTTGTCTCTACTGAGAATATGTGAACAATACCTAGTTAAAGATCGGGATGGCAGCAGAAGGAAAGAGCTGGAATGAGCGCCTTCGACTTGGCTTGGACAGTCAGCTGTGTTAGCTATGCCTCACTGCCCAGAGATAAAAGCAGCTCAAAGTTGGCAGCACGAGGAGTTGAGAAGCATCGTGCGGAACCCGTGAATTAAAGTATCTGGTTTCTCTGGCTTTCTCTAGCTTACCTGTTGGTTGACATTGGATCCCGTGAAAGCACTTGGCCAAC